CAAATGGTCATTTGTTCCTCTATGATACATTCAGTCATCACAATTTACAAGGCCAACGTTCCCCACAAAGGAAGCTGGTGTTTGTGCCTGGCTCAGTATTGATCACATGGCTCTCAGGCGTGAAAAAAAGAGACGAATGATCAGAGAGATGACTTCATCATCACATGGCTCAGCTTGCGGTTTACTTGTTGCTGGCTGTTGTCCTGCGGCTGTTCCCCCCCCCCCCCCCCCCCCCCCACTGAGTGTCTGCACGGGGTTCATTCACAAAGTGTCACCTGAGGATGTGAGAGATTACAGGCGTGAGGATGCTCTTCCTCCCACCATGCAATCACTCCCTCCTTGCTATTTAAATATCACTGTCAGGTGCATGTGACATTAGGTGAGGTGTTTGTCACACTTTGGATCTGGGATCAGCCAACAGTACCCAGAATTCACCCCTCCAGGGCTTTCTTTGTGCTGGTGTGCCATTCTGCAGCGATGTTATCTGTGTGTAAGGACCATAGTTGTCCTGTTTCTCTGTGTCTGTCTGGGGGTTGGAAAGAGTCCAGGTGGATCTGTGGAGCCACGATATACAGTTTCTGCTGTAAACACATTTATTATGCGATGTGCTCCTACTTACTGTAAAGTGCAGCTCTCCAGTGATCACATGATTTATCACATGCATGCTCACAGCAGGGTAAGCCCAACTGGGACAAAATATTCACCCTGTATCTGCCCCATTGTTCATTCTTTAAAAAAAACTTAAAAAGTGACATCTATTTGTAAAAGGAAAATAAATGGAGCAAGGAAGAAACCCTCTTAAGCCAAGTAAAATACTAGTCTTATACATCAAAAGTGAGAACTCTCTTCAATCAAAGAGATTTTTGTAAGTTGTTAGAAACCCAGAACAATACATTAGAAGCCATCATTTCTCATATACACAGGTTAATAAGAATATAATCCACATCTGATCAAATAAAAACAGAAACAAGACCCAAACTAGATCCTTCCCCAGAGTTTATGAATGTTGTCTACCCCCTCGGTGATATCATTATATACTTCTGATTTGAATATGATTTAATATTCTGTAAAGCGAGCCTCTCACAAAAACCTACTTACTTTACAAAATGTTCTTTCATACAGACCTTTGGTCAGCCTAAGTTGCATTTCAATGTGATCCCATAATAACCGTAACTTAGTTACTAACTAGTGAGGAGATATAACTGTAATGTAGCAGCGTGGAGGTTGGAGTCGGGATTACAGGCGTGATAGTAAAGACCGTAACAATGCAGTTCAGGTGGATGAGATGATTAGTGGAGTAAAGTGTGTGGAGCGGCTCAGTGCAGCAGCCTGTGAGCCTCTAACAGGATTACAGGTCATCTGCTACAGCTCTACAGCCAGGGGGGCTCCACTCTGCTCTGTGCTCAAACATTACTCAGCAGAAAAATATACCTTTCCAACCATTTATTTTGTTGTTCTTAACCTACTTACCAATTTGTTTTCATGGGAAATTCATGTGCAATATACAAAAACCTGGATATGTGCAGATTTCTTCCTCATAACAGGCAATAGTTTCCCCAGCTTGTGTGTGTTGGGTATCTGCCTCCATGTCAACGTCTGGATCAGCTGATGTGTTTATGCTTGTGGCGCCCTCTGCTGTCAGTGTACTGGCAGCAGAGAGATGAAGAAATAAAGTGTTCATCCGCCCCTGTCGAGTCACCAACCCTCTACTTCTTTCTTTACATTTAAATTCATCCGTCTTCCTTCGTTTTTACCCTCATAACTTCATGCTTGTGCAGTAGGTTGGCACTTTTTAGCCGACGTGTTTCTCATTTTTCATTAATCCATCATATCAGAAATGTTAAACTTCACCCACATTGGAAAAGAGTGGTGGGTTTATAGCAGAAACTGTGTGTTGTACACAGATAGCCTATAAACCCAAAGTCCTACCACCTCTTTTCTTTCAATGGTGAAGTTTGGCAAATCATCATTATAAAATACAATTAAAGTATTTTTATTTAAAGGAAAATGGGAAAAAATGGCCGTGAATATTCATCTGATGTTGACTGTTGTTTCTTTCTCTCTCCTGCTCCTCGCCATTTTTTCTCTCCTCTCCCCCCATGAAGCTTTCTCTCAAGCTGGTAAGCATGACCGTATAACCTCACGTCCGTAGCGGCATGACCATAGCACGCATGTCACCTCCTCCCAGTAACACACTGTTAATAACGTTGTGTTCGCCATAACGTTTTTGTTCCCCTTTTTTTAATCATTTTTGTATTTAAGTTAATATTTATTTTTGCTGTGACTCAACAATGGACCTCAGACTCATGTCCTTGTCTCATTTGTGTGTTGTTTTGTTTGTTTTTGTGTTGTGGTTGTGTTCATGTCTCTCCCAAACTGTGTCTGTGGTCTCTGTGGTGCAGATCACACTCAATTCCCACGTCCGGAATCTCATTGAGGTGATCAGATTTACTCTGTTTGACCTCTCTACCTGTCCGTCTCTTAGTCCGTCTGGTAGTCCTCCCTCCATGTCTCGACAGATCGTATGTCCTCGTAACAAACATTAACTCGTTCTATGTAGTGTCTCACTCACATCCTTACACTGCATGCCAATGTCTTTTAAAGAATGCTGTTCTGTAAAGCTCACATAATGTACTAGAAGTGTATGATGGCAGGCCTCCACAGAAAATCAATAATTACTCTTAAAGACTTAAATACATAGGGTAAATATCTCCCTCATATCTGTGCACTAAACATAAAGCGACAGCCAGCAGATGTTTGGTTTAGCATCAAGAATGGAAACGGGGGGGAACAGCTAACCCGTCTCTCTCAAAGATATAAAAATGTGCCTAGCAGAATCTGTAAAATTAAAAGAAAAAAAGTAGCCTCCAAATCATTCCTACTTCTTTCTGTGTCGCCTTATTCAGCAAAGGTACTATGTTCACAGGGATTGGACTTCCTGATACAGACCAGTAAAGTAATACAGTTAAAAAGCTCTTACATCTTGTCTGCCAACTACAATTTATTTATTAGAACAAATGCACATACCCTAATAAATCTGCTACTGTATGAGCAATTTGTGCAACATTAAGCAATATTTGTAGCATATTTATTATTCTCAAATGTCCTACAATGCCAAACAGTACAACTAGCATAACTTAGCATAATTATGCTAGCTATGCTAAGTTTCATATTTTCATATATGGATATTTAGTGTACAACATGAGAGTGTATCTCTGAAAATAAGCATATACATGTCAAACTAAGCTGATTTTTGAGGAATTTAGGCCCCATAATGATTTTTATATTAAAAAATTCTCTACCTAATGTGTTTTATAAATCCATACATGATTCTGTATGGACAAATAATTGAGTAAATTCTGATCCATCCCATATTCATCATACTAGAATCAACACATGACCTGATGTCTGCCCATAGTTGTAGTTGATGTTTCCTAGATGATAGTGTTTGGAGTGTCTTGCAGTACATAGAGAATGTGAACACTAATATATCTGACTGCTGTACTGTAGCTCATCCCAGAGATGAGCATGTCTCTGCATGATGACTGACACCATCTCTGTTATGTTGCATGCCCCGTGGTGTGTGCTGATGCAGGGAGAAGGGGTAAGGTTGCCATGGTAGCCTAGCTGCATGTGTTGTTGACCTGACTGCAGTGTCGTCTGTAGCTCCAGCTGTTATATGTCCTTGTGGTGGTCCCGCTGTAACCCGTATCAATAAGACCTATTTAGTCAATGTAAGTTTCCCTTCATTGATAGGACCAAAGCAACAGTGCAAAATGATCACAATGTTCTTCCTTTTTGATACATTTAAAAAAGAAATCATATGGAGAGTTATATGTTTAAATTGATCAAAAGTACTTGATATTTCATAATATCTTAATATGAGACAAATAATAAAAACAAAGCTCTTTATTATGGTGATAGTCAAAATAATTAACTTTTGTATACAGTGACTTACAGGCAGTGCAGTTCAAAGTGCTTTACAACACAGTGAAGAAGAATACATGTATAAAGACAGGCTGCAGATGCAATACAAAACCAAACACTCAAATGAACAACACATATAAAAGACATGCTAATAACTATAGAAGGATAACAATAAAACAAAGTAAGGCATGATAAAAAATACATTTAGAATAAAAGTAAAAAATATTAAAATATTCTACATGAAACTGTCTGTATGTTATCGACTAAAGATTTCTAAATAAAAATCACTACAGGAAAGTCATATCTGTAAAATCCCTGCTAAAATATGTATTCTCTAATGAAAGGGGAAATGTCCCTTTTTAATATAATAAAATAAAAGGAAAAGGGAAAAAAGCATGATAAACCACACAAGAATAAAATAATAAAAATAAACTGTTAATGTAAGAAAATAAGATTGAAAATATTAGCAGATCTTACATAGAATATTTTAAGTTACCTATTATTTCATATTAATGTATAGATTTGATGTTGACAGGCCAGCTAGCACTTAGTACAGGAAGCTTCCGGAAGATTCACTGATGCATTACGTGTGCTGCCGAGCAGTATGACTCATCAGCTCACTGATACAGACTGGAAATATGACCCACAGCCAGCCAAAAAACCTCTCACTCACTCAGCCTCCGTCTCAGGAACACACCGTGCTCTCAGAGAATTATCCTGCTCACTCTGAAACACTATATGAGCTAAGATGTAGCTAATACTTTATTACGTTTCAAGGAAGCAGTAGATTAGATGTGGCGGCTGAATAGGTGGGAGGCTTTTCAATCTGTACTCAAACATCCCAACTTTTGTCATAGAGTTGCTGCAGTATCTCCCACAGGTTCATAAAGATAGAAAATAGCAAAGAACTCCATTTGTGTAGCTGTTATCCATTTTAGTCGTGGTTTACAGGAAAGGGATATAGGGCACCTAGCTAGATAATACATCCCTGTGAAATCAGCAACACAACAACATGTTTCCGTCTCCTCACTTCTCTTTTTGTTTCTTTCTTCTTCCTCCCTCTTGTTTCTCAGGGTTCTGGACCAGAGGACTTCAGCCACCTGCCGCCAGAACAGAGGAGGAAGAAGCTGCAGGGAAAGATCGACGACCTGAATAAGGACATCCAGAAAGAGATGGACCAGAGGTAGCTTTACGTTTGTTATTAAGACGTTTCCCACCTTGTTGAACCCCATCCCACACACAGACACACCCCTGGATACCCTTTTCCTGATTTTGCATTTTATTTATTAAACTGTCCAAACAACTATAGCAAACTCACATTTATTCATATTATTGTTTAGTGTCCATCACTGTCTATATTGTATTCATACTTATTATGTCTAAAGTGTCTGTATTATGCTATCTTTATTCCTACCAGCTCTGTAGTATTATAATAGTAATAATAATATGTATAACTTTATTTGTATAGCACTTGTAATGCTTGAATGCAGCCCAGTACTCAACAGAACAAGATGAGATGAAAAAAACCATAATAATTAAATACAAATTAGTTAAAACTAGGTACAAAAATAATACAGTTTTATTTTATTCACCAGTTAAATGAACCCACATTTAAAGCCATACGTAACAATTAAAGTGTTTATACAGTGTGTTTATAGTGATATACTCATAAATACTGATCATACTGTATATATACTTAAAGTGGACCTATCATGCTATATTTGAATAATATAGTGTAGGACCATACCTATATAAGGCATATTTATACTTTTTTTTTTTCAAAATACCAAACAGATCATGCATTTTAGCCATGCCTTATTTTGCTCAATTTGACATTTTTTAGATCTGTTTTAGCAAGGGCTGATTCTGTGAGCAACAGCACCACCTACAGGCCTGGCATATGTACTACAGCGTCTCCAGCGCTTTCGAACGGCAATGCCGTGGCTGTCTCCTCCTGATTGGTGGAGTTGGCCCAATAGCCGTAGCGCCACCGTCCTGATGTCAGGACAGTGTTCAAATCTGGATCAGTTTTTATCAGATCCGTTGCAGCCCCTTTTTTAGAGATTTGGGTATGGAGGAAAATAGAGAGGGTTGTGTTTTCTGACACTTGGTGAGTTCCCTGGAACACCGGGGACACATATTCAAGTAGAAAAGACGTACAAAAGTGCATTTTGCATGATAGGTCCCCTTTAAATCATATTTATATACTTACACTGCACTTTACTGCTTCTTTCGCACTTCTGGTTGGATGCTAACTCGGTTGCCTTTGTAGTACTAAAAAAAATGCAATGACATTAAAAGTGAATATGCAACAAGGACTTGTATTCACTTTCGTTTTCTTCCCAGGGACGCTCTCACTAAGATGAAAGACGTGTATGTGAAGAACCCTCAGATGGGGGATCCGGCCAGCGTGGACCCCCGGCTGTCAGAAATAGGCCAGAACATTGAGAAGTTCCAGTACGAGGCGCAGAAGTTTGAGGTGAGTTCAGTGCCGGCCTGAGATCTCCTCTCCTCTCTGAGTGTTAGTGTTGGCGAAGCTTTCTTGTTTGGTTTATTCACCACAGCAAATAATGAGGAGTTCAAACACACGTCTCGATCTGGGGTTGATCCAATAAAGTCTGCCGCTCGTCCATATTAGGAGAAGATGTGATGCAGCTGGAGCTTCATGTGGGGGGGAGGAGGCCCAGAACAGTGTCCTGCTTTAACCTTAGACATGGGAAAGAGAGTGGAGTGTAAGGCAGTGTTGTTTAGGAATAGGACCATATCCGAATATTTAGGTTAGTATATAATAAATGTCACAATTCTCTCTCAAAAGAAACAAAATGGTTTACTTTATTCTTCAAATAATCCCAAAAGTCATCAAAATCAACAACAACAAGCACACTCGTTACCCAATGTCATTTGTATGTTTTCGTACGTAATGTGGATGTTTTTGTCTTAATTGGCATGTCCTGTATTGTGGCATGTTTTATTAAGATTTAATTAACCCAATCCAATCTGTAATCTGTCCAGGGACAATATATGAGAAATAGCCAGGCGCATTTGCAGCAGTGATTATTAATGTGCTCTTTTCCCTTTGAATCAGCAAATAAATACAAATTCAAAATGTATGAACATTTCCATAAAACTCTCAACATGGCACTAAAACAAGCTGTTCTCACTTTAGCCAAACTTTTATTAAGAAACTAATATGTGTGTTGCATCACAGAGATAACCCACATATCCCTCATCTCTTCCTGTGTAAAATAAGCCTACATTACATCATCTAATCCGTAGTGTTGCTCCTCCATTAAAAGTTATTGCCATATAAAAGGCCATCTGATTTTAAGATAAAAAAGATTTCTACTCAGCTTAAAATATATCTCAAGTTGTCAGGTTTAAAACCAATAATAATATAATATAATAATAATAATAATGACTGTGTGTGTTTCAGGGCTGGTTAGCGGAGGTGGAGGAAAGGATGCCATCTAAGAGCGATTCGAACCGGAGGAGTGGGCTCTATGAGACCCAGAACAACTCCACTCAACTCGTGAGCAACAACTGTGCGCAGGACAGAGAGAGGTATGGTATACCCTGACGAAACATCCATCACTCACATAAAACATCCCAGAGTGGTTACACACCTTTAACAACTATATATGTTTTCAAAGTATATTTACTGTGTGTGTGTTGGCCCTTGAGCAGCCCGGATGGCAGCTACACAGAGGAGCAGAACTCAGAGACGCAGGTCAAAGCCACCGTCAACCCCCCCGTCAACCCCCCCGTCAACCCCCCCGTCAACCCCACCGTCAACCCCACCGTCAACCCCACCGTCAACCCCGCCCTCCCCACCTCCTCCACGCCGGAGTTCGATGACGAGTTTGACGACGACGAGACCCTGCCCACCATCGGCACCTGCAAGGCCTTGTACCCGTTTGAAGGTAACAGGAGATGCCTCACAGCTGAAGAGATACTCCACCATTCCTGCTCAATTTAAACACTCCAAAGCACTTTATCTGTACAGACGCAGGGTGGAGGTGTTTGATTACTTTGAATGAGGAGGAGTAGGGTTTAACCTTATGGAAAAATATGTGTGGAGGAGGACAGTGGAAAGCCTTTTCAAAATCATATTTGGCCAATTCTCAAACACTTTGACTACAGCGCTGTAAAGAAAGGTGGAAAGAGCCCTGATCGATCGGAGGGATGATAAAAGCTGTTGTCCTCCCCTCAGAGATAAATGAATCTGTTCTCTTTAAACAGGACATTCATTTATTACTATGAGGAAATAAAGACGTCATTATTATAAACTTCCATAGCAAACGTTAAATATCTGAAGAAGCAGGTCATTTGTGAACTTAAAACATTGTTCAATGTGCATCTTAGCAAATACGGTCTGTATGTAGAACAATTCAGACGCCTACATTGGGCTCTTAATGTGCAAAATGCAGATTTGCCATTTTAAGAACATGGCAGGTCTACTAGAGTCAGTGCAGGCAGGAAAGAGGTTTTAAATATAGCATCTACATGGGAGGATCTAAAGGACGTATGTGGGTATCAGCCTATTGGCTTTAGACCAAAAATATCACTAGTTTATCCTGTTTTCACAATATCATATTTCCAGGGAAATCATTTAGATGAGTATTCCCAGGAATCAAGAACCGTGAAGTCCAGCTTGTTTACTCAACATTTTAAATATCCACAATAGTAATAATTGTTAGCTGGTGTTGTAGATAACACCATAATAACTGTTGTTGTCATACATGTGTTTGATTATAGAAGTATCTTTAAGTTATAAGACTGCCTGACTAATATTCTACTCTGATATATATCCAAAGTACCGTGTATGTACAGGTGAGTCTACTCACTGTGTATGCTCATGCAGGTTTAGGAGAAGCATAATAAGTAAGAGAATACTATTCGCGATTTCCTACCACACATCATCTACTGTAGCCTTGCCTTCTCTCCGTATTCAGGAAATCTGATTTAGATATTAAACTCGAGAAGGGATTTCAAAGCAGTGTGTCAGGTGGACATTTGTAATCCTTTCCTTCTCATTTCTCTTTTTGTTTCCCTTGCAGGTCACAATGAGGGCACCATCGCCGTGGCAGAGGGCGAGCTGTTGTACGTTATAGAAGAGGACAAAGGGGACGGATGGACACGAGTGCGCAGGAACGAGGACGAGGAGGGATACGTCCCCACGTCCTACGTCGAGGGTCTTTTTGGAAACAAATGCCAAAGGTGCTATGACATACATTTAACTCAGCAAGTGTGTTTTTGTTACTGTGAGTTTCCATTCACTGCTGAGATGAAAGGTTGTTACTGGTAGCTCAGATAAGAAACACACACTTCCTGTCTCTCTCGAAAGGAAGGACCAATCAGATGTGTCCATTGTGCCTCATGACAGTTGTGGCCGATAGTGTGTAGAAAGAGTGTGTGTCAATCTGAGCAAAACATTTGGTAATGTTTCAGAAATGACACAGAGCTGAGCAAGGGGGATGTTGTGGAAAGAAGCTTCTAGAGAAAGTTCCTCACCTCCCATTTACTGCAGTGCCACCTAGTGGTGATACAAAATAAAACCTGACTCCCAGTCAAAGCTAAGCATTATGGGAAGAATCACCCACTGACAGTGATCATGTATACATTTAAAACACACAGTACTTGATTTTACAATATTTTTTTTGTTAAGATTTTAAATGAAAGTATTTCCTTAAATTATAATACTTTTAATCATGAGTCTGATTCGCAAAATCGAATGTTTGAGCCAGTTTGGTAGTAAATCACTGAACTCTTAAATGAATGTACGCACCGTCTGAAGTGACATCACGTTAGTGTGTTTTGGTCACTCCTTGTAACCTAAAAGGAAAGCATGCTCCATGTGCAATGTAATTTGAATCTGCTGTAAAATATGGATACATATTAAAAGATATTTTTGTAAACTAAACAATCAAATGTTGCATGCGTGTAGATTAATCATAGTGCTGTTACCAGATAAACCTTGTGAATGTAATTAATCTTCCCTCGTAAGGGGTAGTTTTATATAACTATTGATCAGATTAGTAACCAATAGCCCCACTTTCCTTTTTAATCCACCTTTTTTATTTGATAGTGTTGGGCTGCTCTGGTCCTGTTCCCCAGGCCAGACTGAGATTTAGCTGTTCTGAGCTCTATGGTGAGCTGGGCTGAAGGAGCTGGTTGTGACTTTAAAGCTTTGTGGTTTCCTGCACGTACCTCTGTTAAATCGGGCGTTTACTGTAAAGCATGGTGTGTCATTCCACCTCACTGCTGCAAAAAGACATTCTGTGCTACTTTCCAAGATCGGCAATCATCTCTTTCATAAAGCGTTTGTTCAACTCCCTTTCAAACATTTCTACTGAGCTTTGATGGCACAGCATGGGGTTCTTATGGGCAGATCTGGGGGAAGAATTCAAGTCTCTGTAGTTTTGATCAAGGAGCATATGAAATGTGTGGCATGCTGCAGGATTTACGGGATTGTTGTCGTTGTCATGAGGTGATTTCAGCATGTTGTGACAAAGGGGCCGGGTTCTAACATGCATTCAAGCCAAATGACATTGAACGATGTAAAGACAGATCAAGATGCATCTTTGGGTAAATGCGGTCATGCCTACACCACAGTATTTTCTGTCAGTTTAAAGTACTTTCATAAATGCAATGACTTCTTTACCCACCTCTCTAAGTCTGAATAGATGGGTTGCCTTAATTTGCCGTTAAAACCATCTAACTTATTTTTTGTCATTTTTTTTTTTTTTTTTTGTTTGTTCGTATTTCTTTTTTTTTTTTTTTGCAGATTCCTAAAAGTGTGAGGCTGGATGAGGAATGGCAGGGCAAGCAGTCTGGGAGAAACCACCATGTTCCTCGCGCGCTCACAGAGTCAGAGAGAGAAAGTGAAAGATGACCTCAATCTAAAAAGAGAGGGACGCCCGATTAGTACGCATCTCAATTTCCCAAAAACCTTTACGAAACAAACCCTGCTTCCTCTGCGAAGAGAAGCCACGATAAGAGAAGTCCATCTAAATTTTAGAGCTCATAACCCTTTCCACTGTTAACAGCCATGCAGCAGTCACAACCACAGTATTCAATCTGCCTTTTTCAGCTTGCTTTAATGTAACTAACTCGCTTGCACCACACACGGTCATCAACGTGGCTGTTGGCTTCCTCACTCTGAACGCCCCACCCCCCCCGGCTCTGACACCCCTCCTCTTCCTTACCTAACACTGTACACACACACACACACACTCACACACACGAGGGAGGTTGTGGTCAGAGACAGGACGGGGACCAGCTGGAGCCTTATGGACAAAACACCTTCATCCTGCGGTGTGTGTGTGTGTGAGCCATGACCTCCTCACTCCTTCACTCAGAGGAGCGTCACCCCGACGTCATCTACATACAGGCAGTGGTGGAAAAAGTACTAGGATCCTTTACTTAAGTAAAAGTACTAATACCACAGTCTAAACATACTCCATTACCAGTAAAGGTCCTGAGTTAAAAAAAATTCTAACATAAAAGTATTATCAGCTAAATGTACTCAAGTATAAGAAGTATAAGTACTCATTGTGCAGAATGCCTGTTATCCATTTGTTGTATTATTATAGAATATTATATGTTTCTGTTTGAATCATTAGAAACATATGGAGCACATTTTGGAAAATACTTAGTAAATGATTGGTAAATATAGATCATATAAACACATGTATTTAATTTTAAAAGTAACTACAAATAAATGTAGTGCAGTAAAAGTAAAACATTTACATCTGAGATGTAGTGAAGTAGAAAGTAGCAGAAAAGGAAAATACTCAAAAGTAAAAGCACCCCAAAATGATACTCAGGTACATTACTTGAGTAAATGTACTCAGTTACATTCCACCACTGCATCTAGGGCTTAACACACTCATGTTCACCCTCTCACTAAATCATATTTGCAGGTTTCAGAAGGATCATGTATCTGTGTGTTCTCTCTTCTGTTGTGTGTTTGAACGCCTTATTTTGAAGGCCTTGTGTCCCATTTCCTCCACACCACGATCACCCCCACACATCCAGGAGAGGAAAAGAGACGAAAGGTCATTCTCCATCTCCATCTTCCTCTTCCTCATCCTCACTGTCCCTCTCTCTCTGAGCACACCCTCCCTCCCCCCTGACGCGGCTCAGGCTATCCCCTTGCTGCTTCGAGCACCCTTGTTTTGCCGCAGCGGGGGGGGCCTCTCAGCGTTGTGGTGTGCTGCATGCTTGCCCTGTCTTCCTCCTCGCCCCTCTGCTGGCACCCTGGAGCAGGCGATGGGGGGGGTGGTAAGGTTAGCTTACGCCCCCCCCCCGCCTCCAGCCTTTCTGTTCAGTTAACCCTCATTGCCTGGTCGTACTGAATTAACCTGAATGCTACTGTTTAGGTTCGGTGCCTGTGGTTCTTTTTTTTTTATAATACCTTGTTTTTTTTAGTTCATAAAGCATGTTTTCCTGTTTTTAACAACGAGAGTGATCTCCTCCTCCCAGTGTTCACCAGTTTAATCTCAGCAAAGGACGATAGGGACCCGAATATGTTGTTTTCTGAATGATCTTATGCATAGGTAGGTCTTGTGCATTTGTTTTACTGTAAGTACACAGTACAGTATGTATGTACAAATGTTATTATTGTATGTTTTGATCAGAGTGTCTAACACACGTTGTTAGTTTACAGTTAATCAGCCTTGTGGAAATGTCTCCACTCGGTCCAGGCAACCCAAAAATGAAGATATGATTTACACCTGATGTTAGGATGATCCACTTAAACTGTCCACTGTATATGGAAATATACTGTGATCCTTTTCCTGTGAGTCTGTGACTGACCCAGAATCTCCTGCTTTTTTTGGGCCTTAACTTTGGTTTTCTGAGAGAAAGGATGATGCTGATAGCTGTGGTTTGCTGAAAGGATTAAGATGTGATTATCTCAAGAAGTTTGGGGGCAAAATTAAGAGTTTTTATAATCATACAGAGAAAGTATTTCCACTGATTCCCCGGCACATAATGTACGTGATTTTAACATTTTCTGTTTTATATATTTGATGATGTTAAGTTGAGATTCAGCTTTTCTTTTTTTGTTTTCTAAAGCTGGAAGTCTATGTTGTATTTTCTGCCTGAATGGGACTGAAATCCCTTAACTGCAAATATTAGTAACAATGAAATTGTTCTGTATGAAGCCATTCTTAAATATTGATCTGATTCAGCATGTTACAACCACTTTTCAACCGGAGGAGTGACGGACATATTGACCATTTGGACTCTTACATGGAAGAAATGATCAAATCTCTGCTGAAGTTCATGTTTTCTTTTCAACATGTCATGATTTCAAAAACCTTATTATGTTTTTAACAATAAATCTGAAGAGGCACAGATCATTGTAGCTCAATAGCATCCATCTCTGCCAGTGCTCTGCAAAGACACCACAAAACGTTTGAGTCCCTGCCCCGGAATAACCTGCCTGTACAGAGGAAACGGCACGTTGGAATTAGAGAGAATATATATGAATATATAAATAAAGTTTAAAAAGGAAAACATCTATTTTAACTATTGAGAGTCTTACCATTACTTTATCTGCTTTGCAAAGTAAGACTTCCTTTCCTTTCTAAGGTCTACCAAATGGTGTGTTTTTGCACTTTTTCGTTTGTGTTCCATTTGGTAGCCCATGCTTGTGTTTTGGAGCACTGAATACTTTGTATTGTGTTTACCGTGCCAATTAAATATGCCTGGAAAGTTAATGATGTTGAGTCCTGTCTTTGTTTTCTTCCCTTTGGAATTGAGACACAATCAATAGCTAACCTTTTCAATCAAACAGCAACTATGAGCTTAATTACCCACAATGATTAACTCGCTGCTAATGAGAGCAAACAGGATAAATGTGTGATGTCATTTAAAGGTCCCATGTCATGCTTTTCCGGTTATTACCCGTCCCCTTGTGTGTTATGTAGCTTTTTCTGCATGTAAACGGTCTGCAGAGTCACAAACCCTCAAAGTACACCCTGTAGCGAGTAAAACTCTTAACACAGAAAATACCTGTCTCTGCTGCCCCAGAACGCCTCGTTGGAGATTTCTCTTTTTCCATTGTTTTCTTCTTGGGTATAGTGACGTATTTGGGTATAGTGACGTAACGTAACGTCCGCGGAGCCGTTACGTTTGGACCAATCCGCGGACTTCCTCACAAACACATACTCGGCGGGACGTTGCGAGGCTCGCTGCTGCGAGGAGCGGACAGTGTGAGCTGGCTCACTGGTGTGGGGTCGGCGAGACACCGTGGAACTCAGCCTAAGCACACACGCAAACTCCCAGCCAGGCTGCGGGTGTGTGTGTGTTTCGGGCTGGGTTTAGCTGTGTCTTGCTGTCTTGCAGACGGCCACTGGGCTCACAGGGAGGGGGGGGGCAGGAGCTCCAACAAGCCGTTTAGGACAGGGAGTGAATACACATACTATACAGAGATGCTGTATGAGAAACCAATGTGAGTTTGGAACATTGCACAATATGAATCTATTCTAGTAGACCTCAACAATGGAATTATGATCAGTAGAAATGGCCATGACATGGGACCTTTAACATAAGATTGCCCCAACACAAACAGCACAGATGTACCTACTGTGTCTAGTATCCCTGCAGATGTTCAACTATTGCTGTAACTAATAATGACTTTAGTTATTTATGAATCTGTTGGTCATTTTTAAATAATGAATTACTTGTTTACTCTATGAAATATAGATGTAGGTTCTGGGAGCCCAAGGTCATGTACTGACATGTATTTTTCTTTGTCGGACCAGCAAAGAAACGGAAACTAGTATTATACTTATAATAATGTGGCCTATTTGTTTTCTGTTGCACGACTAAATTATTCATTGACAAATTATTTCACTTTATAAGCTAACTGCTTAGTTGATTAGTTATTGAATTGCATGCATCATCCATTCATGTGATGATAGGGCAAATCTTGATATTTACAGTATTCCAGTCAAAATGTGTAAATAAGTGGTTTCCCATATAACTAAATTCACAGCTGTTTGTACCTCAAACAATATTGTCATAAGCAGCCCACAAACTTGAATTTAGTTCAGAAAAAAATATGAATCCAATTAACAAAACATACATTTATCACTCAATTGTATCATACTTCAATGGGATAAATTATGGTAATACTAGAAAATGCATTTCGTGCTGAATTTAGCTGAAAATGCAGAAAAAGCTAAACATATTATTATGTAGTAGTAGTAGTAGCTGTAGTATACAGTAAGTAGTTGTAGTAGTAGTTGAAGTAGTTGTGTGAGTAGTTATGGTATATTAGTAGTAGTAGTTGTATTAGAAGTTGTAGTAGTTGTATTAGTAGTATGGTCGTAGTAGTAGTAGTAGTAATAGTATAAGTAGTAGTTGTAGTAATAGTAGCAGTAGTAGAAGTAGTTGTGTTAGTAGTAGTAGTAGTAGTAGAAGTAGAAGAAGCAGTAACATTCATAGTAGTTGTTGAAATAGTAGTAGTGTTTATTAGGGGGGGGGGGCTTTTATTTAGAAAAGTAATCCTTAAACTAAGCTGTTGAACAGCATTCACACTAATAAGGCTTTAAAACTATCTCATACCTACAACTGTGAAACATAATGTAGGGGTTTTATTTTGAAGGCGCAACTGCTGACAGTGAACCTGGATATATTATTTAGTTTAAAGGGAACCTATCATGCAAAATGCACCTTTTCATGTCTTTTATACATCAACATGTGTCCCCTCTGTGTAAAGAGATTCTGAACGTTTCAGGAAAAAAGATTCTCTCTCTTTTTCTCCTGATCCATTTATATAAAAACCTGTCAGAAAATGAGCTTATGATGTCATAACGATTCTTTGGCTTGTGTAACCATTAGCCAATCACCAACCAAGGTAACCCCCGCCCACCTTATCACCTGAATCTCCTCCTAGAGCACCATTGAGTTCTTTTTAACCAAATATCTCTCAGAGGGGTGTGGGGAGGGGCTCCTTATTTTCATCTAAAGTAACAGACACAGAATCAGCACTTTTGAAACAGGGCTGAAACAGAGGGGATTATGGGATGCTACAATGCATGATCTGTTTGGTATTTGGAGCCAAACACTTCAGAGACATGTTTTGTATCTGAGACCTATAATATATTGATGAAAAACAGTATAATAGGGGACCTTGAAAGTGAATACAACTGTATAAAGGGAAAGGCCGTCACTGAGTGGTGCATCCTCTCTCCCCCATCAGGACTCGCAGCAGGTGGTGGAGTCCTACAAGTCAGGGTTTGAGTCTCCGGGCGATGTGGAGTTTGAGGACTACGGCCAGGCCATCTGAGACCTATAATATATTGATGAAAAACAGTATAATAGGGGACCTTTAAGCAAGGTGATGTGGGTGCAGCTCCCTTGTTGGCCACCAGATGGTAGCCATGTTCCACCGAATGTTGTTTCTTTGGTAACTTCAGAGTGCTTTTCCTTTTTAATCACACAAGTTTGAAGTGACACTGCATGCTTTCTGAATGAACTATTATACTGTAAGTCATGGTTCTTATTCAAACTGATCCTCATAGAAGCTCTTACCTCTGTGTTTGATTCTCATTTATTTTAGTCTGCCTGTTGATTTTCAGTTCATCTCTTCGACTCAATTAAAGTCTTATACACATTGTTTGTATTCTCACCGCTCTACTGATCTGACTGCAGACAGCTCAGCAGTCTCATGTATTGATCCGGCCCTCGGATAGATCAGGATGGCCGATAGCTTCTGGTCCACTGAGCTGAGCTGTGATCAGTCCCAGGTGCCCCACAGAAATATGCAGGTGCATGCTGTGCGGCAGATGCAGCTCTCACCTCCTCCAACACACTTTTCAAACAGCCTAATTGGCCTTTGCTCCCTGGGACCCAACAAGCTGCACTCCAAATGAATAAAGAAATTGAATTGCTTCAGTAAATCCTGTGGGGCCAGCGAGTTTCCCTTTCAAACAGGATTTAGAGCGTTTTCACTTTGCTTTCTTAATTGGTTTGTTTTGCAAAGGCTGTCTACTCATTTATTTACATTATTTGCAGGAGCTAGCCGAACGGGGAATTTGCACCTGATGTCTCTGGCTTTTTTTTTTAAAGAGCTAGAATAAATTAATATTAAACTTAATGAATACAGTTTGCATTATTCATGGGGCTTTTTGCAAGAATGTACCTAATGTTTGAATGCATCAAAGTGCTAAAATAGACACCAAAGAGGGGGAGCAGAGGTCAACCAGCAGCGATAAGCAACAGTATTGAAGAACACAAAACAGAACTGTAACAATAAGGGATTAATTTAAATAAATAAAACCTCAGTACAGGACTTAAAATGTAATTGTAGCTGAATGTCACCATTCAGTTGACTGGAGGATATTGCTGTTGCTGTTGTGTGTCTGGCTGCTGATCAAACATTGACAGCAGCTTGGTGCATTTCCCTTCTCAGCTAATCAGGGGGTATCTTCAGGGCATAAGAGAAGTGGAGAACTGATCACCCAGAACACTACTCTTTCCTGACCTAATGCAACCCCTAACAGCAGATATTGCCAGCCAGAAACTCTGATATTTACAGGCATTTTGAGACAAATATATATGTAGCTTGAATAATAATTAACGAAACACCCTTGACCTGTGACAGGTGACCTGCATCAGGGCAGATTCTAGTGCTCTTTTTGCAAGAGTTTACTTGCCTTCTGATGACCGCCTGCAGCTCTGTTGGTTTATTGATATATTTTTTATCAAAACCCCTTCACACACATTTCTCATTATCGAAAAGGTATTTGTTTGTAATGCACTTGTGAGAAGTGCTTCCCAAAAGTGAATATATTTCATGTTTTCCTGGTTGAGAATATGGTTGGGAAAAGTAGAGCACCGGCATTTGCACTCTTGGGAATTAAGCCTTATCGATATAACTATATGGACATTTATTTATTGATATTTTGTGTTATTGCTCTGAATCTGAAAAGTTAAGTAGAAAATGAAGTAGAATGAAAAGTACAATATTACCCCGAAAAGAAAATACTCAAATCAAGTAGCAGTCATAGGTACAGTACTTGAGGTGATGTACTTGCCACACATTGAGCAGTTTTATCTACTTCCTCTGCTGTGCTTGAAGCTGAACAGGTCATCGGCAGAGCTCTCTGATTACAGCTGCACTGAGGACTGATCAAACCTGCTGCAGTCTAATCTTCTGTCAGTCTTTAGGCCCAAACAAGTCAGAGAACAATCTCTGCTTTCATCAGACGCTGATGGATCGTTCACACTTTTAAAGCTCTTTAAATATTGTTTGACCCGTGGAGACATGTTGAAATCATTTGATGTTTCTTGAGGAAGGAATAATCTAAATTGATGATATTTTGGCTGAACATGAGAGGTAGAGATAAGAAGAAAAGTGCGTTCAGAGTGCGGGTGTGTCTTCCTCCCCGAGTTAAATGTTTCCGATTTACAGCCAAGACGCCTGAAAGATAATTAAAACTTCACTAACACACATTAACATAAATATATCCAGGGCTGCCAACCTTTGAGTTCAGCTTGGAGTGAGACTTTCTTTTTTGGTGAACCGAAAAAAGAAACGTTCATGTGTACAGTGTTACGGTGGACCTCACCTCCTCTAGGGGGGTCCGGGGGCATGCTCCCCCGGGAAGATTTTTATTAAAATATTGAAGTTAAATTAATCAACCTGGTGCACTTTGAGAGCAAAATTAAGAGATCTATGGATACATCTCTCAACATCCATATGAAACAG